TAGTACGTAACATAAAAAAACGTAGCACTACAAGATGTATTCTGATCAAGATAAACTGAGTACATGAGCTCTCAATCTCTATACTCTCGGTCGATTTGATTGCGTTAAAAAAGTACATATAGAAGTAAAAAAAAAAAAGATTCACGGCGAACACGACGTGAGGCTATGGAGATCGGCGAGAATTTCTCCCTTTAAAATATGAACTACATTTCGTTGCTCACCAACTGAACGACTGATYYGATGGTASTGCTGGCGGACTAAGTCTGCCATTTCATGTTGTCCAGAATAGCATTTGCTTTGAAACAGCAGTCATGATTCATAATTAATCATTACAAATAGTTGTCTTTGACTTTTCTATGATTACAACAGACGTTTTCGGTCGATTACATAATTCAAACKAACGAAAGTCGATGCATCGATCGAATCTGTTGACCTCTGTTGTCAATATTATTAAAAAACAAGTCAAAGAAAACTAAATGTAATGTTTAAAGGAATATTTATTTAGAGGAAAATGTTTGTGGATTTCTTAGATTTGATTATAAGCAAGGGACAGAAACAACATTGTACGTTTAAATACAAATGTCTCTTATAACTTTGTCTTGTGTTCTTATGAACATTTTGAATGAAGAGAAACATCCCTTACCTGTTATTGCCGTCGCGTTGGAGCCAGTATTACTTGGATTCCAACAGCCGTTTGTTAAACGCAAAGCCGTGCAATTCGTTTGATCTGTTTATTCTTGTACTAGCTTGAAAGTCACAAGCATTCATTGTCATGTGCAAGCTCAGCTCGATTGGTCATGATATCATGTTACTACCGGAGATCAAAGGCAAAAGTGCGGGAGAATCATTTTGTAAAGTATTATTTTATTTATTTTGAGWCGGTTTTCTTTGTTATTCAAAGTCTTTATTTAAGTCTTTATTAATATTTAAGAGTTAATTATCGAAAATCGAGGCATTAATCCATGTAGATCCTGATCGTGGCCGTAGGCTGGAGGGATCCGCTGTGGTTTGTCAAAGCCAGTTTGAGGCACCTTTGGACAGCATGTACTTGAGAAGGTTCGCTCCGCTCGATTTTTCATTTATAATAACATGCTATTCTTAAAAGACATACGAAAAGTCTATAAAAGAACGTAGTAAACTAGGAACAATAGGGCTTATTTATCAAGATTTTCGCCGTCATTTTGACGGGTAGGCGGCAATGTCTAGCCTGCGTGGCGTCCCTAAGTGAATAAGACGGCCGAAAAGAGAATAGATTTAAATTCTGCAAAAGTGATCTATTGCAACCACTCGGTGATATCACAAAAAGAATCCTTGGAATACATAACTTTCTCCAGGAAAAAGGGAGACAATATAATGTCAGCACATGCCACTTTGCCATTTGAGCTGAAGGTACCGAAACGAAAGCGGAAAACAAGACATGAAAATAATTATCAATAAAAACCAGCTCGGAATAATGTGTATGTATCTAAGTCGGTTTTCTTTGATTTTCTAGGTCTTTGYAAATGTACATGGCTTTGAAAATTACTTGTCCCGGTTGTTTTGACGACACAGGATCGCTGATCAGATCACGGGATCGTTGATAAAAAAAAACAACGGCGAAGTTCTTTATTAATTATTATTAAGAGCACGTATAGAATCTGAACGATCATTTTGTTCTGCTCCATGAAGAAATGTTAAAATTCACCACCTGAAATTGTTGAGGCCAAACCCTGACCCTGGAGGAAAATAACATCACATGACAGTAAAAATATGTTCATAGCGTGTGGTATAACAACCTCAAATTTGTTTGACAAGCTCTCACTGTCAAATGAAATTAACTCAGGCTTGTATCAGTTGCGCTAATTAAGCGATATACCAATATCACGCTTGAAGTACGAAGCCTTGGATTATAAAATACTTGAATAGATTAAGCACGATATTTATCGTATCAAAGGGGGAGTAGTATTCCGAAATTTAAGCTATAAAATGTTTATGTGTTTTCAGAAGAAAATGAATACAAAAACGTGTCAAGGTATTGCACACCCAACGTCGTTTTCATACACAAGCATTTTTGTACCGTAAAATTTATGTATTTTATCATTAATGTTTGATAACTGAATAATATTTATTTAGTTTTAATCTAGAGTTTTACGGTTTCTTTTTAACATTGGTTGCAATGAAAATTCATAGTTCCATCGCTATAACACATGATAACCTCTTGATTTTGGAATTCAACTATTTTCGACATGTGAAATAACCTTTACAGTTTCACTTTTTACTTTTGATTGGCGTAATATGGGTCTTTAGCAAACAAAAGGCATCGTCCAACAATAGACCTTATCACGATTTTTGCCGCCATTTTGACGGGTATGCAAAGTCTCGCACAATAGCAGGGATACAGTGAGAAGTCACGTCACACGCCGATGCCCAACGAAATTGCAAAGAGATGTATAGAGAACTAAATTACTTTTCATCATAGTTCGTATTCCGAATGTCGTGTAAGGATAGCTAGGTTTGCCCTTCGTTTTTTGAAAGAGAAGTTCTACTGGCAGACCCTTACGGCACTAGTCAATTGAAACTCCCGCTCCCSACCCCCGGGAAATACCGGTTAGTTTAACGTTGAGTTTTAGATACGCGTTTATACGGCAAACGCCAAGCGTCAAAACTGATCACGTGATCACAGTTTTTCTTTATAAACGCTTCGTTCTTTCGCGATTGTGTATAAAATAGATCAATAGAGAGTTTTAGATTCACGTTTACTGCAAACGCCAAACGTCTAATTGCATTTTATGCTTTTTCTCAAAATTTCAAACAAACGTAAAAACGCTTCGAAAGGAATAGTGATGCGCTTATACACGAAAAAGTGATCTATTTTATACACAATCGCGAAAGAACGAAGCGTTTATAAAGAAAAAACTGTGATCACGTGATCAGTTTTGACGCTTGGCGTTTGCCGTATAAACGCGTATCTAAAACTCAACGTTAAAATATAAGACATTTTCCCCGGTAGTCGGGGCACATTCATGTTAAAATTCCCGCTACTGTTGGCTCTCTATTTGGTAGTAGTAAATAACAAAGCAAACACCTTTCAAGCAAATTTTCTGTGATACACAGGGTAAAGTTTTGCACAATCCTGTATACTMATTTGCGTACTGAKGCTAACTGAACGGAGAAAAACATGTGTAATAAGTTTCTTTTAAAAGATTCGTGYAAGGAAAAATAAACAAATAAAAAAACCGGGTTGAATACCAACTTCATGCTTTTAGGGTATTTCTCAAGATGTTCGACCTCTAGTTTCCAGCCTCATACATGTTCAAATGCGCGTTAAAATCCCTGCTCTTTGCCCCGCTTCCAAAACCGTTTCATCAAAATCCCGACCCCGGGGCAATCTTGCTGTTAAAAGCACGTTAAAAATGCATCACGTCCCCGTTTAGTGCCCCGCTAGCCCCGACGGGGTTWCAATTGACTAGTGCATTACACTGTGTAGTATGTCTTCTTTCGAGTTTTAATATAGCATAATTTTATCTTTTGAGTTTTGATTTAACATAATTTTATCGTCTCATGTTTTGCAAGACCACTATACAATACTTAAAACGAATGGTGAGTATTTCATGCAATTCAGAGACATCATTAAAAAAAATTGGACATGAAATACAGTAATGTTGGCTAATTGTGCATGAAATGACTGTTTGACATGTTGCACGGATGACATGAATATGCACTGACATGAACAAGATAATACAGAACCTCGCAGCTGGTATAGATTCCAAATACAAAAAAATAACTTGTCACAACACCGGAACGTCACGGTGCGGTCTCGGCAGGAAATTGCTGTGTATTTTGCAAAGAAATCATGAAATTGGCTCTATAGAATGTTAACTAGATTATTCACACACAAATTATATGAAATACAATGAGTTAGAAGTGAGAAATTCAAAACTTAAAACAAAAATAATGAAACCAGTCCAAATGGTGCGTAAAATTCGCTTCGATAGAACACGATAAATGAACGTGCTATTTCTTATCTCAAAAGTACTGTTAACTCAGCGTCTTTTCTTTCCAAATATAGACCAATAAACAAGTGCGCATGTATGCTTTGAACTGAAAAAGACACACGCCTCAGCCAATCAAAACCCGTTTGGCACATTCATCAATTAAGTGAGTTTTCAGCGAGAAACTCCGCGTCACCGATGCTCTTTTACCTTTTTGTTATTTATTTCCTGGTATCACAATTCATTACTGTAAATACCATTTATTTACAACTTTGTATTCAATGAATCTTCCAAGATGTCTTCTGAAGTTACACTGTTTTGATGAATCTCGGTGCTTGCCGTTGCATTTTCTCCGATATCATTGGAGTCAAATGCTGCATTTATGCACCACAAATCAGTCTTATATTTTGAAAGAGWTGTCTGATCTCTTTCATYTGTYTTTAGTTGAGCACTAGGAATACCGTTGTCACTAATATTGTCACTATATTCTTGAAGTTTTTGCTTGCTTTCTTCAATTTTGCTTTCTCCTAACTCTTCAGTAACGCAAAAAACATTGATATACGATTCAGGTATATCGCTGTTCAAGTTCTTCAAGACAATCTCTTCAGGTTCGCCATCATTTCTTTGCTTTACCTTCGTGACGTCATTGGATACTGCATCATTGGTGACGTCGTGTGTGACTTCAACAACCAGATGATCGATTGGCTGTTTTCTCCATGNACACTAGCCAGGTAACCATGATAGTGCATGAATTGCTATAAATTTGATTTGATCGAATCTCAAACACTAGCCGTTGCATCATGGGTAATCAGGACAAAATTACTAAGATGCAAGGAGATAGAGAGACGTTTTTCGCAATATTTCGTTTCTGAGGTAAACATCACAAACCGAAATTTTTTCTGTAGATTTATAATCGACTATTCAATGTTTTTTGGATTTTTTGGAGCCGATCGGGCCATTCTTGCTGAGTCACGACTTTTCAATGATATGCATACTGAGCTATTTTCATCGAAGTGTCATCGCAAATGTACTGTCTCCGTCCTTCTAATAGGTTCATATGTGGCTCAATTGGCTCAAGAACACCACAATACATGGAATAAAGGTTTCTCCATCGACTATAAAAGTTTSGTTCCGCAAATTTACCTCAGAATGGAAATATAGCGAAAAAGTAGCTCTTTCCCAATCGCCTCTTAGAAATCTTKTCCTGATTACACATCTTCATCGACATTAAAACTCTTCTATTCATCATCATGAAGTAAGCGCTTTTTTTGTGACATCGAATCATTCATTGAAACCACTCAGAAATTTAAAGTCCTACCTGGATTTCACTGTTTTTTGATGTTRCAATGTATATGAAGCTAGAACAAGAAAGCAAACGTCCAGTTCCTCATTATGCTTAAGTTCTTTCACCGACTTGTCATGASGTTTTGTTCTAAACTGTCCGAAGGTCAAGCATGATGTTATCTGAATAATACAGTCATAACCGCGGTAATGGAATATTGCACCACATTCCCTGGTGAAAAGTACCAAAAAACAAATGACTTCCGACATGAACATTGTCAACAAAACTAGGACTGGGATCGACTATCTGTGRGAAAAAACATCGTCATTGCAGTGAATTGCATTTTTAACATACTAGTAATGAGTTATGAAAAATACGCTAGTACAGCTAGAAATAAACAACGAAGAAAAGAAAATAGATTATATCAAGGTCTGCTGTAAAACTGTTGAGTCTGTACTAAGAGYTTGTAAACTTCCCGTTCCGTTGGTACCTATTCGCCGTCATTTGGAYGGTTTGGCGTGACCCCCTTACCCTGCGTGGCGGCCCTAAGTGAATAAGATGGGCCGAAAAGAGAAATGAATAGATCCAAATTCTGCAAATTCGATCAATTGCGAACGCTCGATATCACAAAAACAATCCTTGGAATGCCCGGGCAATCTTATKTTTCTCCAGCAAAACCGAGACAATATAAAATCCCTCTATTGACTCAATTGCTATGTTGAAACTTGCTATGATAGCAGTAGCAAGGCTCTTGAATCTCTTCATTTGGAAGCCTTGAAGAAATGAAGGGAGGTTTATAAGGCACACGCCTCAGCAGATCAAAAYCCGTTTGCACATTCATCACTTAAACTGATTTTCCAGCGAGAAAAGTCTTTCGCGGGATCATGGAACTCTGGTAGAACAGCAGTCTCTGGCAGATAGCCTGATCGCCTGGAGGACCAAATTTGAGATGCTCAGTATTTACATTTCTTAAATGGACTCCTTGTCATGTTTATTTACAAGAAACCCTCTGAASACTTCAAAGGCTCAGGGAYGCGATTATTTTGGGTCACAATTTTGGAATAGTTGGTGCACAGTGCTCGGAAAAGCTTATCGACAAAATAAGAAAATATATGAATTACTTTATCTGATTGYACCTTTTATTCGTGCTYCGTCATAGGAGTGGAAACGGTGACTCTTTCGGTGAGTATCCTCATCCTAACCATTTTGGAAATTCAAGTGAAAAATAATGTTTTAAATTGACAAGAAATGAAATACAAATATCAAATTTTGGTTCTAGTATTATAAAAGGTCTGTTCGCCGTACAGCTCTCGGGGAACTTCTTCATMTTTAAGATCTCGGCCCATGGCASGGAATTGGTAGGTCCTGGAATCCATTTCCCAATGATTCTGGATTCCACCACATTAAATTCAGAATAACTAACGTCCTATCTTTTTATCGTCAGTGTCCAATGTATAAGAAGAAGCATTTGATGTGACTAATTTGGATTCGGAACTCTTATTTCATCGGATTTCCTTTCCATTGCCGCGGATTCTGGATTCCGGCTTACAGAGACAAAATTTTGTCATTACGGATTCCGTGTCATGGGGCGATGGATCAGTTCTCCAATCCCTGTATATAGTGAATTCAGGATGCATTATATAGTATCTAATGGGATTATGAACTCAGCGTCACCGATGCTCTTTTACCTTTTTGTTATTTATTGCCTGGTATCATAATTTATTATAAGTAATTTAATGTGATTAGTTAAAATAAATTAGTCAGTTGTTACGCATGCGTTCAAATTATTTTAGAGTTTGACTRGCTGTTTATACGTTCTGACGGTTTCCCACATTTGAGGGCGACCAGAGAAGATCCAGGTACAACTACCTYATATATAGATTTTCAGAACCCGAGTCCCAGTAATTGAGATACGTGGGACTAGCTAATGAATATAATGAGGGAAAATTAGTTTTTAAATTGCCCATATTAATTATTGATGAGGGCAATTTAGAAACTAAACTGCCCTCTCGTAATTCGTGAGGGAGGGATATATAAACGTCCCTCCAAAGACAATATTATTATTTACAACTTTGTATTCAATGAGATGTCTTCTGTAGTTATACTGTTTTGATGAATCTCGGTGCTTGCCGTTGCATTTTCTCCGACATCATTGGAGTCAAATGCTGCATTTATGCACCACAAATCAGTCTTATCTTTTGAAAGAGTTGTCTGATCTCTTTCATTTGTCTTTAGTTGAGCACTAGGAATACTGTTGTCACTAATATTGTCACTATATAGTTTTTGCTTGCTTTCTTCCATTTTGCTTTCTCCTGACTCTTCAGTAAAGCAAAAATCATTGATATACGATTCAGGTATATCGTTGTTCAAGTTCTTCAAGACAATCTCTTCAGGTTCGCCATCATTTCTTTGCTTTACCTTCGTGACGTCATTGGATACTGCATCATTGGTGACGTCATGTGTGACTTCAACAGCCAGATGATCGATTGGCTGTTTTCTCCATGGCTTAAAGCAATACTGTAAGAAGGGAGTTACGAATGCTAGTAGCATTATTCCTCCTGCTGTAAAGAAGGCAGGTCTGTAAGAGCCTTCGACGTCGGCTATAAAACCTGAAAATAAAAACATATTGTGGTAAATTGATGGATACACACTTGAGGGGGGTGTCAGTAGTTGAAGTGTCCGTTCGAATTTCTTCGTTTATTAATGACAAAATCTGCTTTTTCTTAGTGTACAAATGTAATCAAATATTATGTCACGATGAAGATAAGACTGTCGCACGAGACCTGACTCATACTTAAAATTGAGACACCATGTAAATGAATCCACAAAAGAAGCGCGCAAATGGCCTAACAACTTTTCCTTAGAACAATAGATCTCTGAAGTTCCAAAAAAAATGATCTCTGAAGTTTTTACGTCATGTACCGTATATGCAATGCATTGTGGGATATCTTTGGGACTAAACATGGTGGATTTCTTTTCTTTTTTGTTTTCTCCGATCCCACAATGCATTAAAAATCTAGTCGTGACGTAAAAGGTTCGGAAGTCTATTTATATCCGTTTTAACATACCAATTAGAGGTGGTCCAAGAATATTTCCTAACGATACAATGGTTTGGCCAATCGAAAATGCAACCAGACTAAGGCTGCTTTCAACTGTCTTCAAGAGAAGTACAACAATTGTTGTGACAAAGCTACCGATACCAAGACCAAGAAACACCGAGTATATGATGAAGTGATAGTACTCGGTAGCAAGTTGAAGTAGAAGCATRCTCAGTCCCATTGATAAAGCACCAGMTTGGCTGACATGGAATGGGTTGACTGTTTTAATGTCCAWGATTCGTCCACAAACCACACAGGAGACCATTGATGACACACCAATAGCAATGAACAGTCGCGATGCTCTCTGTGCTTCGATGTTAACCTCGATACAGTARCTAATCTAGAGAAATTACAATGTGGTAATAATAACGATGAGTATGGTGATTATGATAACGATAATGTTTTCATGATTAAAAACTACTTTTAAGGAGATATTTTAGGAGCTATGAAAAGTACGAGGACTAGAACTACCATAATACTTTGCTGCACAAAATGGCGTCGCTGCACATTGCAACCAAGTATGTAATGGCAGCAATAAACACAATTTTATCAGCGGATCTTATAGCTGGACACAACATAACAGAGATGACAGCAATGTTCTTTTTTCACATGTGAAGGCTGTTGTATCGAGCAAGAAGATAATCAAAAATTTTATGTGATTCATATAGCTCCACTGACGAATATAGCTTAATATGATGGCTCACGAAAGGCCTATCTGTCGATGTTCAGCTGAAAAGTTTTTGAAAAAAAAGATGAGTCATGTCGGGAATAATAATGATAATAGCTCGACTGTAATATAATGAAATTATCAATCATGATGACGCAGAAGTACCTGATTACTAGATAGTTATGTACTTGTGATGATGAGGATTTGTCATAATGTCAAAGTAATAGTGTCACCAACATTGATAAAACTTCCCAAAGATCGAGATTTACTTACCAGATAAATGTAAGATACATAGCAAGTAAGAGCTTGAATAGTCAACGATACCACAGCGATGACGTACGCGGGTGTTTTAAACACTTTAAGAATATTAGCGCATGTAACATTTTGTATCGTCTTGTCAGGCCCATTCCCATGATGCGTAGCGTGCTCTTCGGCGTTATTAACGCATCTAACACCTTGTGTCGCCTCGTCCAGACCACTTTCATTCTCATGATGCGTAACGTGCACCTCGGCGTTATTGACGCATCTAACACCTTGTGTTGTCTCGTCCAGACCACTTTCATTCCCATGATGCGTAGCGTCCTCATCGGCGTGTGTCGTCTCTTCAGRCATACTTTCATTCCTATGATGACTAGCGTGCCCCTCGACGTTCGGATCATTGGCTATGGCCGTTAGTACAATGGGTAATACAAATGACGCTGCAATTATCCTATACATCCATCTCAGACCATACAAATCAAGAAGAGTCTGAATGATTGGTCCTAATGATAAAGTTCCGATGTTCTGACCGGCATTAAGGAGACCTACTGCAACAGCCTGTCTTTTTTCAAAGTAGTTTGTCACAGCCACAATA